GATGGACCAAGGCGTTATCCGTAACCTGAAACTTTTGTACCGTTCATGTATACTCAACCGCATGGTGCTGTGCTTGGAAAACGGGAAAGGCTACAGCGTTGACCTTCGGTCTACTGTCGAAATGCTTGCGGACGCATGGAAGGCAGTAACGCAAGACATGCTTCGCAACTGCTTTCGCCACGCGAGCTTCGTACTCGACACAGAGGCAGCAGACTTGCCTGAAGAAAGAGACAGCGTGACTGTCTTGTGCCCTCTCATGGACGATATTATCAACGACCTCCGCTCTGCTGGTGCTTCCATGCCCACGGAAATAACTTTTGAAGCGGTTCGTAGATGCTGACAACGAGCTCGACTTCTGTGCAGAGCTAACCGGCGACGAAATAGTCAGTCAGGTCAGACGACTCCGATGTCGAAAAAGAGGAACCAACGCCTGCGCCACCTACGACCGCAGAATTGATGCAAGCATTGACGACGCTGTCATCGGTGTGTAGTGATGACATGACCCTTGCTCAGATCGAGGCGAATGTGACGACATGCAAGCAGGAACACCGTTCAAACAAGGATCAACAAATTTTTCAAGCCACTGCAGCTCCAACACCGGCTGCCCTGACGGCACCCGCTGTCGGCTGCATGCATTTTTCTTTCACGGCTCTTTTCAGAGCCAGCCCACTAATGCTTTGGCAGAGTTCCGGAAGGCTGGTACTTCGACCTTGACCCTCTTGATCCGAGAAATATCAATGAAATGGTGTGGGTTTTTTTTTTTCTTGCATTGAAAGTTATCAGTAAAATAATGCGTGTTTTTTTTTGCTTGCATTCATTTTTTTCGGACTGCCCGAATTTACGGACGGTTTTTCGCTCCCTAGAGGGTCCAAAAAATCGGCAGTTGACTGTACTGGCGCGGGAATCATCAAGTCTGTGAAGTAACTTGATAGCTAATAAGTCTTAACGCTACTTGCAAGTCCTTTCAGCCCACCTTCTTAGACTTTTGCAGGTTGTTGAAGACCACGTGGAGAGATTTACTGTGGAGAAGGTTGCATCTGGAACTGTGTACATGGACATTTTAGACAGTATACTTAGTGATGATCGGACTGTGCATGCAAGTGTGGGTTGCCAATTACATTTTGTAGCTACAACAGCTGAAATTGTTTATTTTTTTCTGAGGTGCCGGCTGCATTTTTTTACTAGAGAAAAAAAATAAGGCTTCAAGAGCAGTCAAGCGTGCAGTATGCCCTGCATCTGGAGGAAAAAAGGCCAAGTGAATGAGCATCCGGAGCCTGCTTGTATTAGTACAAGGATTATTACAGGAGGTTTCAGTTTACTTTCATAATTGCAATGACATTGTTTGGTGGGCATTCATGTTGATGAGGCCCGTCTTCTCGCTTGTGTATTCGTTAACACTCATATATATTTTTCATTACATGTGTAATCTTTAGAAGTCTTGTACTGTCACCTGCATGAGCAGTTTACTGTGTGTGTGTGTGTGCTGTTTAGATGATAGTGTCCTATGCCTAGTTTGCATATCCTCGAAAATATATCTGCTGAACTTAAACCTTACTCTATAGTTTAATACTTTGGCAGTTGTTTGCCTCAACTTTATGTTTTCGAAATAAAATGCTTATAGCCAGCAATTTACTGTTTTTATGAATATATAGAATAGATGAAGCCCACTGGCTTTCACCCTTTAATAAGGTGCTAAAGGTATTGAATATTTCCTGTAGATCAACAGCTGCACAAGACCTCTGTTCAACTTTCGTCCAAGTGAAGGAGCTGCTGTAGAGCATTGCTGGGAAAATACATTATACAATCGCTTTGCAGAATGCAAGGGCCCTTAGACATTTCGCAAGAAAAAAAAAAAGTACCTCACGTGGCTCTTCAATGTGGTTGTAAATCTAGGTACACATCTTGCGCCTCATATCCCTGGAATGCGAGCACTTCACCAAGCATGTTTAGCAACACACCTTAGCTGCTTAGCCACAGAGGCGGTTAAAAGAGCTTTATCAGGGTTTTCACTTGTATTTACAATAACGTTGTGATATTCACTTCAGAGTCTTGTACGCACAGTCTGCCCGAGACAGAGCTTAGCGACGCACAGGGAGGCAACAATCTTTTTTTTTTCTCTAAACTGGTATTTCGTATGCCGAGCGTCGGTGGCGCACGAAATCGCACCTTAAAGTAACATAATTAACTCGGTCATGTATATTCGGAGGAGTCTTTTTTTCAAAGCATGGATAAATCGCCGGGAGAAAGTATTATCGCTTAAGTTGCGCGCGTCAGTACGTTTATCGGTGAAGAATCGGGATTCGCGCCCGTCGCACGTGCTGCTGTGTACTGGCAATGTTGATCGCAGTTTTTCCACTGACGGTTGGCTACAGCCTTGAGGAAAATAAAAAGCGCCAAAGAGGCATGACCAAGCAGTCTTTGCTAAATGAGCTGGTAAGGCGTGGCTGCACGCCAATTTCGCCACAATCGAAATGAATAGAACACTGCCGCAACTGAACAGACATTTATGGCCGCTACACGCAGGTACGAGTACGCGCCTATATGCGATGGGTGATCAGTATATGAAAACCCACGGAAATATGTTCATGAAGCCACCAGAGCGAGTTTACACTACGAAAACTTCTTGATGCGCCAAAAACGCCATCTAAGCGGCCGCGATGAACGCCCCCGTGTCTGGAGTAACGCCCCCTGGCGGGCGGCTCTGTCCCTATACCAAACTTTGTAACCAAGTTTTGTGACCAGAAAAAAGTATTGAGGGACTATGGTTTCATTTTTTTACTAGAAACGGGCCCAGAGCAGTTCCGCGCGTTCTGGCATGTATGTTGCGTGTGCGAGTCTTGCTCGCTCTTGGTATGCGTGTGAGATTAGGATGGCGGACGGGAGGACATCCACGCTTTTTCTTGCTTCTCAACAAAACGTCGAAAGCGTGACCGCTTGGCTTGAGCCTAATTCGCGTGCCGCGTTACGGAGCGCTTGCTCATAGCTGTTGACCACCTGGCCGCCAACTTGTTCCTTCGGGTGTCCGGGTATTCAGCTGTGGAGATGGTGAATATTTTGTGGGCGGCGGTGACGGCTACATCCGTGCGAAACTGTTCTCGTGAGGCCGACTTTGTTGACGTCAAGCCGGATGCGAATTTGAAGCTTCCGAACAGGATCACTCCGGCAGCGATTTGTGGCAGCGCGCCATCAACTCCGATATGGGAGAGCGGTTGGAACATCTGTTGCGATAGTTTCATTACGGCCGATGATGATGCCGACACTGTGGAACCTTGCATGCATTAGGGCATTGTGAATGAAGTGCGTGGCAAGAGCGGTTTGGAGGAATCGAATTGCAAGTACGACGAAACTTTGAAGCCAGTCTTTTACGCGGCTTATGCCACGGGCCTCGGCGAACAAGCACGCTGCTGTTTCAAATAAACTAGAGACCGCCCTAATCGCTTCTGCTCTTCGAAACACGTGCATCACAGACTTTTTTGGGCAAAAAAAAAAGAAGTTTGTGTTTTCACTCATAACTTTGTCAAAAGCTGCGTTTCATTTAGTACGAACTTCGCAATACAGCGAACGGATGCCGCGTCAGGCTCAGGTTCGTTATAAGCAGGCTCGCCTGCGTTCCTAACATTATATTTATTACAGTACTTTTTTTCATTCATTTCGTTATCTACGACAATTCGTTATATCGAAGTTTGAGTGTAATGCAAAGCTAAGTTTATGCTAGTAGTATTCTTTGGTTTGCCTGCTCCTCACACTATGCACATGTTATGAAATTTCGCCTAGAATATATGCGATACTTATGCGATTTCAGTCAAGACTAGTTACAAGATTTTTAATCCCATGAACAGTTCACACTCAACATTTAGTCACGCGAGTAGATGTTATGCAATTTTATTCACGTGACTGATTGTCGCGTGATGTTATATTGGTTTCAGTCGCATGGCCACATGTTACACCAGTGTATTTATACAACTAGTTAGGCAATTTCAGTCATGTTACTTGTGTCACGAGATTTTGGTCCCGTGACTAACTAGTTACGTGATGTTATGTATTTTTTAGTTCCTTAACAAACTTGCCCATTAGGGTTGCTGTATTCCAGTCAGGACTAATCAGCGCACATGTTCCAGGAGCGAAGAAAAACATGAGGAAGAAGACAAAGTGAGGGCGCAATGGTCCACGAGTTCATGATAATAATTTCTGTGAGCGTGACCAGACGCAGCAAAAAGCCTAAACACTCTCCGCTTTTAAAGTGGTACTGACACTAATTTTAAATATTTTGGGATTTCTGCTCTATATAAAAAACTCAAGTTCCGAGAACCCCAAAAAGAGCCCTGTGGTGCTTGGGAACAGGTCAAACACATTTTTACCTTGAAAGGACACTTTCAATTTCTATATCAGAAGGACAGTTTTTTCGTGATGTGCCATGGCAGCGTGACGTCGCGGGAAGCCAGTAATTCGCGCCGTACTAATGGCATATCAGCTGTCCACTTGTGGTACACGTAAAAAATGACGAGTACATTGTTTCCAGCGACCCCGACAGTGATTTCGGCTATTTAGGCTGCATGGAGGACACATTTCGCCAACTCAATGGAACTGTGTCGACTCGTCGGGATAATGTCGATTGTGGTGGAGCTGACCTGCTGTCGCTCAACGAGGGATACTCTAAAATCAAAGAAAGCATTTCAAACGTGTTGGCCTACTCTGGTTGTGTGTGCTAGGCACTGTGTGCCAAGAAAACAAAAAAATGTCTCTTTTAGGGTGCCTCAGAATAGTGTGCCTCGTTAAGGTGCCTCGGAATAGGGTGCCTCGGAATAGGGTGCCTCGGAATAGTACACCTTTGATAGATATCGGTAGAAATGAAAAGCCGTTTGTTGTAAGGCATTCGAGTCACTTTGATACTGCAGTTGTGCCAAGTTACAAATTGGGCCGGGAACGTGAACAGGGCTGCTTTCAAGATGCTGTTGGTAAACCTTTAGTACCTTTCAAATGCAGCATAGAGACTTACATACCTGAGCTCACTGTAAGGAGCAAACAGCAGTGGCAGAAGGCAGTGCAGGCCCGGTACCAAGGGCATGAGGGTTGTGTTACGCAGAGTCACGTGGTCGCTTGTGGAGCTCTGGCTTACGGTGGCCGCGACAAGCAGCCGGGGGTGCTTGTTCTGCGGCTCTCCATTGAGCAGCACGGAGTTGACACTGTTGCGGTCGACAAACACGCCCCTGGACGCGAAAAGGCAGGAATTGAGGTAAAACGAGGACTACAGGATGGGAAACTTTAGTCCTGAGATGCACGACACAGACTGTAGGACTCTTTCTTTTTTTTTTTTTTTTAACAAAAGCAAGACTTGGTTTCACCGAGAAATAATAAATGTGCAACATCAAGAACTCTGGAGACGAACGCATCAACTGAGCTTTTGTGTCTTTTATAAAAATAAGCTTACGACTCGTAACCCGTATGGTGCATTCAGACGACGAACCGAATCCGGATTTGTCGTGGACACGGACGGCTAATCCACGAATAATCCGCCTGCAGGCGCATCCACACGACGGACGGTGTCCTAGGAGAAAACAGCCGGATTACCCTCGACAGCAGATTCGGCGCTCACCTGCGCCGGCTGGCAGCAGACTGGTTAGAGAGTATTCAACATGGATGCCCACAAGAAGCAATGCTTGGCTGCGATGTCTGTCACGTTGTGACAAATGAACGAGGAGTGTTATTCTTTCAGGAGAAAAGGGAGTTGCTGGCAGAATGTTCTTTCGACTACATTGTTCCTGCCTTGTAGAACTTCTGAACGCGTCTCCCATCCTTTTTTAGAAACGGCACGTCACCGGTTGCAGAAGTTAGAATATTTCACCACCATGACTGCTAAGAATCTCGCGTGTCAAACGATGGCGGCGACATTTCCCAAAACACCAAAAGTGATTTTAGAGTATTTAATCCCCTGAGAACAAAGCCCCCTAAGTAACTAAGTAAACTAAGCAAACTAAGTAAACCATGCTCAAGCGTAGATGATGCTGACCAGTCATGCAGCTGTCCGCGAGCCATGGAGGACATGCCGCGAGCAGACGAAAAGTGTACTGGTTGCCCGGAGATAACCCCGGAGCTGATCCGCTGAAGTCATCGGCTTTCTCCCGCCAGAATCCCGATGTGAGAAACAAGTTGGGGTCATCCGTCCGCGCGGCTCGCGGACGAGAGCAATCACTGATGTGAGGTCACGTGACGCGTCGACCGTCCCACCACATCCGGATTCGGTCCTGTCGTCTGAATGCACATTCGAACCTCAATACAACAAAGTTGCACCTTTCACGAAAATAAGTTTGTTTTATCCAAAAACTTGTTATAAAGGTAGATTCAAAAAATTATATCTATTAATAATAATGATAGTAATAGTAATAAAAATACCTTTTATTTCTTCAAATAAAACAATACGTGACTAGGCCTGCTAAAGCCAATTGGTGGCTTGAGTGACAGAGCCTGTTTGCAACACTGTTTTCTATTTACTCCGTTATAACCGATATTTCGTTATAACTGATATTTCGTTACATTCGGGCCTGTTATATCGAGGTTTGAAGTGTGTATGTTTTGTTTGATCATGTGAGTGTTCTGGACATGTGATCATCAATAAACATGAGCAGTCACAAGTAACTTCCATCTATAAAGTGTTACTTTTTTCGATAAACTCTCTGTATACTGATGAGATGGCTGATCAACTGTGTATCCTTCTAAGTGAAGGCAGCGCAGCATTCGATGTTGTGCCGGTACTGTACTGCACAGGCGCTTCCAGAGGCCTTTGACTTGACAAGTCCATGGCCAAGTTCGTTTTGTAGTGAGGGGCGTCACCACGGATTTCTTGTTTCTGGTATGCTGGGATACGAGACAGATGTTACAAAATACCGAATACATCTGTACAACTTAATACGCACTGATCTATTGTAGCACTCTTTGCTTGTCAGACACAAGATGGCAGTCAATAGTTCAAGACGGCAGCACTTACATAGACAATATTTTGGGCAACCTTTACAAAACAAGCCCGTGTCACATACAGTTAAGAGCAGCAATAAGCTAAAGTTTTTTTTAGAGTGCATGGTTTTTTTTTTTCCACTTTGTGGCTGGATTAATACAGCTGATCGTTTTGATTCCAGACTGCACTGTACCCAAGGCAAGTCGAGAACTACGGTGATTTCCAAGAACACATCGCAGACATACTGTCGATTTCCATAGCAGATCGATGCAAGATCTCTCGGCGACAGTTATCAAATTCAACTTGCCTCACGACTTGTGCCAACTCTAGTATGAATTTCAGTTCAGAACAACAACCGAAACATACAACACTGCTGAATAAAGGTTATCATATTTGGCTGCTAGCAGCGCCATTATTCTGCACATCAGTTCGAGCGAAGTTTGAGCCATCCGTAGCCACAATCGTCAAAACCAAAGAAAAGCGCTGCCCAATGTACACAAACACGGCATACATTAGCTCACCTGAGCCAGCACATCTTTGACATGCCGACAAGTCGGGCCTCCAGGGGACTGAACGGACCGTGAAGCTTTGCCTGCATAACGAAATGTCGGGAACCAAACTTAAAATTTAACCGAACAGCGATGTTGAGTTACTACAGAATACAAAGACAAGTCTGAGCTAGTATGAAGCTCAGTGAATGCCGATGTTTTAATCCGACGTAAAAGTAAATTTTTTCTAGGTGCTTCCACTGACACTATCATAACATCAGGCCGCTGTGTCGACACCGGCAACTTCACGCGTCCGTGGGGTTAGACGTAATGATATCAGGTAACCACGCACACAGAATGGTTGTTAGCTCGTCACCATAAGCATTCAAAATGGCCGCTTGTGCACCAACGACGGAGCCACGTCGTGGAAAGCGTGGCTCCCTTATTGCTCTCCTCGCGAGACTGTGGACTCATGCTGGCCAGTACATTTGATAGGGACTTCAGGAGTTGTTTTTTTTGTTTGACTGAATAATAATAATGATAATATTAATAAAAATTTTGTGTCAGCAAAACCAGATCTTAGGACGAAGTCTCCAACACACAGAAGAAATTTCTATTCCCTTTATTGCCAATGAAAATCGATCGTAATCATGCAAGGCAGTGAACGTTACGGTCGCCCAAAAATGGAAAACTCTCCGCTGAATCATTGCCCAGAAGTAGAACCTAAATTTTTTTATAATCATCACAGCAAAAACTGAAAAGTTGATGAATGCGTGGGATGCCAAACCACACACTTGCATTCGTCACGCAGAAAACGACCCCCGCCTTTCCTGCAAGCTCACTTTTCGTGACGATGTCTGCAGCGCTCGGACGTCAAGCTTGGACGTGTCGACTTGGTCTTTGTAGTCAGCGACAGACGGGTCGATCGCCTCGGTCGTCACCGACTGGTAGTACGACTCCACCCTCTCCCTCAGCTGATGGTTTCTCTGGAATCACACAACACAAAAAAGCAGTTGGACAACAAAGGTAAAGACAAGCCACAGCGTATTCCTGCCAACTGACTGCACGGAGGCAACAATGATCGCTAGGCTGGCACGAATATCCTCTTCGAGCGACAATTATGATACGCTGTCTTGAAATGCGTCAAACTTGCATGGTGTGATTCCAAGGCCCTCAAGATTACATTTCAAGAAAGATAATGTAGGAATGTGTTGTTTTCAGTGCATTTGGATAATTAAGGTTAATTAGCATGTAATTAAATATCTAATTACTCTTTCATCAACCAAGGTCGATTCTTCCATAAAAAGAAGAATCAAATATTAGGCCCCAAATGCGTGCACAGTTAGACTTTTTGTGGCAGTCATTTCAAACAAAGAAAAAAACTATGTTGGCTGTGAAACGCGCCACATTGAACGATAGCCAAACACTGTAGTGTCTCCAGTAAAGTGATTATCAGCAGCACTAGGTAGCGTAATGAAGTGACTGCCATTTGACGATTCAGCAAGCCTGCATGAATGTGCACACTCAGTTTCAAGCCATTCGAAGAAATATGCTGTGCGTGGCATTTCTAAGAATTTGATGTGTACAACAGTACACACCGCCGCTAAAGGAGACATTCGAATGCTTCAAATACTCGGACTCAGGGTTCAACAGGTTTCGAAATATTCAAGGACTTTCGAAGACCTGTTGCAAGTTTTTCAAGGACTCAAAGCGGCATGCTAAGTTCGACATTTTCATGCTAAATTTTGGAGAATGACCAATTTTATTGCAGTTGAAATAAATATGTTGACATTGCAATTATAACAAAAAATATAATTTTATTAACTTCTCACACCCTTCATAGGGAGAGGGCAGGATACCATGTAAAAAAGTTACACACAGACAGCTTAAACGGTTATGTGTGTCATCATCATCATCATCAGCCTGACTACGTCCACTGCAGGACAAAAGCCTCTCCCACATTCGGCCAGTCCACTTGGTTAGAGTGTACTATAAGTGTTGAGTGGCATGACCGCGCCTCGCCGCCTGATCCCTTCCGCGTTGCCCGCAGCGGCGGCGCTGCAGTCAAATAGTACTAAAAGAGCCACGCACCACTTGCAAGAACTGCTATACGCTTCGGCTCCTCCGTCACGCTTTATTGATGCAGATTTCTTGGTGCCTGCCCATCATTCATGTCTAGCACATGATGTCATAGCCCTTGAAGTATGATACGCCAATCTACTTGCTGAATTTGAGCTCTATAAAAGCTGTTGTGAGAGATCGAAAGTAATTCAGAAATGGCGTGTCTTATGGTGATTTCTTCTGCCTGAACTCTTTCTTCGTTGGTTAGGCGTCTACAGTAGTCAGAATAACTGAGCCGATTTATTGGAAGTTAGCTGTGCTCAGTAAGCCGTGAGATTAAAAAACAAATACCGTGTAAAACGCACGCAGAACCAGGAAGCCTTAAGTAAAGAGGAGAGAGAAAGGCAATCTAAACTCCCTCTTTACAACTATGAGCAAGCGCTCCGCAACGCGGCACCTAACACGCGGATTACGCTCAAGCGAAGCGGTCACACTTTCGACATTTTGTTGAGCGGCACGAAAAAGTGTGCTGGTCTTCCCGTCGGCCATTATGACCACACACACACCAAGAGCGAGCAAGACGCACAAACGCGTAGAACAGCTCTGGACGCGTTTCCAGTCGGAAAACGAAACTAATTCGAGCCAGCGTGGCGTGCGTCGCAGAGCGGTGGAGACGGCGAAGGGGTTGTGATCAAGAGAGGAGAGCAGACTTGCGAGAGAAGGGCAAGGAGTTGCGATAAAAGCACGGGGGCATGAAAGATTCCTTCCTCCGTGCGATAAAGAGAGGGGAGGATGCGGCAGGCGGGCGACCTTGAAAATCAAAACACACAGGAAGAAGGCAGGTTGGGTAGCTTGCTTGAAAGGACCGTGAAACTCGTACGTAGAAAAACTTGAAAAGAGTGCCAGCGCACACAGAAGTCAAAGCATGCCCGCCTCGTTCGGTGCGTGCGGCGGCGTTTGAAGAATCGGCGGCCGTGATAAAAAAAATCATCTTGTTGCGCCAGCGGGTTTGTGTGGCCTCACGAACTTTGATATTTCGCGATTCATTCCACGCAAATTAACAGCCGTTTTCGCGCTTCCGCACGTGCGCGGAAGGCATGCTGAGCCGAGTGCGAAGTAAGCGAGAACACGTCCTAAACACGAAACGAATCGCAAATTATCAGAGTGGGCGGGGTAGCGTACGCGCATGCACTAAACGCAGACTATCAGATACAGTCGGGAGCAAACAATGTTGGCAAATGGTCTGGTCACTCCAGGCCGGTGACGCCAACGACAATACCAGCGATCAAAAACAGGGTACGTGGCCGACCGGTCTTCGAAAGATCGGTGGCAGAGTGAAAACACGGGCCTCATCTGGCGATGCGGGGTGCTCAGAGTAGCAGGGGGACAAAAGACGGAGGGGTGCGTAACAAAAAGCAGTCGGGGAGAGCAGCAACTAGAGGGACGCGGAGGCAGAATCTGCGTTTAACAATGAGAATGTATGGGCACCTTGCCGATGCCCGATCGGTGGTCGAAATTGGTTTCCCGGGAAGTCGGCAGACCGCTGGCTTGTTCGCTGTAACCGATCAGCGGCACTCGGAGACGTTCGTTGTAAGTGCAATTTTGTGCCATTGAACCAATGTATATTTTGACGGTCACGCGGATATTCATTTTAAGCGAAAGTTCGTTTTAAGGAGGCCGTTATATGTGGGCTCGAATGTATATATATATATATATATATATATATATATATATATATATATATATATATATATATATATATATATATTGACACACCTCGATGGGCGCATGAAGAGGAAGAGGTAGAAGCGGTCTGGCTCACGAGCAGCTCGGTCGCCGGTTTCTGGCTCTGAGCTGTACCGATCTCAACCATTTCCTGTAAATAAACGCGTTCCTTCGTCACAGTTGTGGTGGAGGTGCTGGGTAAGCCAGCTACTGTTAAGCGAGACCGGAGAGCAGCCGTCTACTAACGACGGAACCGCAAGAGCACGAGCTTCGCCGCAGCCGTCGACTAGCGGGCTTGCCACCACTACCTCAAGATATGAACTTGGACGGAGACATCCAGCAGCCGGTCGCGAGGGCGCCGTCTTTCCACTACCGAGAGCCACGCACATTTACAGGAAAACCTGGCGATGACGTTGAAGAATGGCTCAGCCACTATCAACGGGTGAGCCGAGCCAATGGCTGGAATGCGGCCAGCCAGTTGTCCCACGTGGGTCTATTTCTCGATGGCAGTGCTTTAGTGTGGTTCGAGAATCACGAAGACACCTTGACAACATGGGACCAGTTTATGGAGGAGATCAAGAAGTGCTTTGGCGACCCTGCGACGAAGAAGAAACGTGCAGAGCAAATGTTGTCGCAGAGAGCTCAAGCTTGTGGTGAGACATGCAGAACCTACATTGAGGAGGTACTGAAACTGTGCAAATGTGTGGACACCAACATGACGGAAGAGGACAAGGTGGGCCACATTCTCAAAGGAATTGCGGAAGACGTCTACCACTTCCTTATCGGCAAGGAGAGTCTTGAGTCTGTGGCCGATGTGATTGGGCACTGCCGAACGTTTGAGGCCCTGAAGACTCGCCGCATCACTACGAAGTTCGGACGCCTTGCCAATGTTACGACCGTCGCCACTGTCGATGTGTGCCAAGACTCCGTGCCTACCGACCTTTCGTCAACGATTCGCCTCATTGTACGTGAGGAACTTCGTCGTCACCTTTACGCGCCCTTGAACGCCCGAGAACCACCGTGCGATACACCGTCCACAAGTATCAATGCTACGAGTTTCGAGGAGCGCAGCTATTCCAACCGCGGCCCTCAGCTAAGGGCTCCACCACCGGCGTCTTCTTATGTAGAGCCGCCTTATGCTCCCCACAGTCGTTACGGCTACAACAGCCATCCACCTCCTTTTGCGTCTCAGTGGGAACAGAGCGCCGCATACCCTCAACATCCAGCGACGTTCCCTATGCCCCGTGAACGGCCCGTCTGCTACCAGTGCGGTGTTCGTGGACATATCGCCCGATTTTGCCCAATGCGACGTAATCCACGTTCGACATTCCCTCAGAGATCCGCGACGTTTGCACAACGAAGCCAACGGCCTGACTACACCTACTGGCCCCCCAACCCAACTGACGAGCGGCACGCCTACCAGCCGATCAACCGGAGTGATTCGCCCGGATCTGTGCGCAGCTTAACGCCGCCCACCACCCGTCCACCTCGGTCACCATCTCCACGGCGCCGGTCACGAATGTCGTCTCCGCCACCGGGAAACTAGCCAGCGCGGCCGACGGAGGTGAGGTCGCTGGACGTACCGATTTTCATCAAAGAATGCCTCCACCAGTTTCTATGCTTCAGAATAAGGTTCAGGTACTTGTTGACGACGTTCCCACGATGGCATTGATAGACACTGGCGCAAGTGTTTCTGTGATGAGTTTAGTTTTTAAGCAACGACTGGGCCGTAAGGTTATGTTTCACTGGGACAAACCTGCCACATTTCGGGCAGTGAGCGGCGCATTCTTGCGTCCTGTCGGCGTCTGCACTGCGTCTGTTAGTGTTGCCGGTAAAACGTTCAAGGCGGAATTCACAGTACTGGCTCAATCAACGCATGACGTTATACTTGGCATAGACTTTTTGCGAGAGTGTCGTGCGACCGTGGATTGTGGAGCAGGTGAGGTTCTGTTGTCTACTCTCGCCCAGCAGCCTGATTGTGAGAAAGGTAACCTCACTGTAGCTAAAGATGTACTTCTGCCAGCGTGGTCCACGGCCAGCGTACAAGTGACCACTTCGGAAACCAACTCGAGTTTGAATTCACGTGACATAGTGATTGAGCCGTTGCCTGTAGCTTGTCTCAAGAAAAACATCTTTGTACCACGATGCATTGTATCTCTCGCAGACGAGACGGCTCAATTATGGGTGATAAACAGCTCAC